AATAATAATAATAATAATAATAATAATAATAATAATAATAATAATAACAACAACAACAACAACAACAACCTTTCTTCTGTGCTACAAAAAAGCTGTGACTGTGATTAACTGGATTGTGCTTATTCTTCCCTTTCTTCATGTTTCAACTATGCAGTGTGAAACATGCTTCTCTTTAAAAAAAAAATCACTTTCCTTAAGATGTACAGTAGCTCCTGGGACTTAGTAGGCAGGGAATGGCTCAGGGTTAGGCTGAATTCTTTTTTTAATTCCAGTATAAGGGCTCGTGATAGAAAGGACAATATTGCACAAAGATTTACTTTAGCCATTTTAAATTTATGATGGCTGAAATGGAAGAAAGAAGTAAAAATGCCCATATCAATCATGCCCAGAGCCACAACATGAAATATCAATTAGGTGAGAACACCAACCCACCATCAACAAAGTCCTTTATAAATTGTGTCAAGTTTTTTCTGCATTTCTATGTTTCAAGTGTGTGAAAGCAAGCGGTGGAGTTCCTTGCAAGGCAGACCAGTTGTTCTAGCTCTAAAAAGATAAGTTTAGCTCTAAAAATATGCAAAGAAATATGATCCTTCCATGTCCCTCACCATCTTGCCTGAAACTGATGAGGCTTTTTGGATGAAGAGCAGTATGTCTTCCAGAAAGAAAACAAAGGATGGTTCAGTTGTTGTTTTTTTAAACAAAAACAAAACACCTTTCAGACAACTGTGACCTCGATGATTGAGAATCTCCATAGACATTTAGCTCTAGAAATAAATCTCCCAAAATGGGGAAGGTGCAATGGGATCGTACAGTACATGCGTGAGCTGTAATTTAATGGTGATTACATGGAATTGTCAGTGGCTTGTATTATCTGCTTATTATTATATATCTATATAACGAAATACCACTCATGCATCATCACAAAATCTCCAGAACCGTAAAGCCTACCAACTTGAAATTTGACGCGTATGTTCCTCTTGGCTTCTAGGTGCTCATTAAGAAAGGATTTTTCAGAATGACCATCAGAGCATTAGTATTTCCTATATTATAATTAACACGCTCCGATGCTAAGGAGTTCTACTCCCCCTCTCCACCTGGAAAGAAATCTGTTCCAAATGCAAAACACAAGCAGAGGAGAGGAGTTTCAGTTTCAGTTATAGTTTCAGAGCAGCAACCAGCTCAACTGTTGAGCTAAGCCATGCCCAGGCTCCTTGCTGTCTCCTTCTTCCTCACACAGCAAATACTGTTTCAGTTTCCAAACAGCCCTCAACTCTCATACACTGACAGGACACTAGCCAGATGAATACTGATGGATGCTGGTAGGCAGAGGCACAATTTTTTCCCCTTATTTTCCTCCCCAAAAACTAAGCCTGATCGCATAGTTTCGTAGTGAAGCACAGGTATCGAAGTAGTTTCTTTATATTATCATTGAACTCCAGCATTTTTTTAAAAAAAAATCTTCTTTGCTTTGGAGTGGACTTTGTCTCCACCCATCACTTTGATATCATTGATAGCTTTAATTCCTCTGTTTGCAGAACTTTAAAGCTTGACTGGAAATCAAAGCGGAGACAGGACCAACAAAATATTGTTCTTTGCTTACTTACACAAGATCAACCAGGGTTTCTGGAAAACCTATCCCCCAATATGTAATTGTTGTGTTTCCAGATCTAACAACTAATTGCTTCTCCATTTCTCGGGGCTTGTCATGCATTAAATTAGATGTTTAAATATGAGCATTGAAAATGGCTGTGAGTTTTACCATATCTGTGAGAAATTAGCAGGATGAATTCACTAGCTCCTGCATCTTATCACATACATTTGTAATCTGTTTGAAAATACCAAAGCCAGGGTCAATCATTTATTTTGTGTTTTTTTTTTCATGCTATGCAGAATAATTCCAATTTTCCTAAGGTGTTCTCTGTGGAGCATTATAATAGAATAAATGGGAATATTTGTTGTTGGTTTCTTTGTAAATCTAATTTATAAGGCCATCAACTCAATCCAGGCCTCACTTCTTTATATCTATTGTTGGACTTCATCAGTAAGCATTGGCTGTGCTGGTTAAGACTGATGGGAATTGGAATAGCTGAAGGGATACAAGCTCTCACTGGCTCTTTTCAGAATCACTTTTTCAGATGTTGGGAGAATGGAAGAAAAGAGAAGAAATGGGTTGCCTGTTCATCTAATTGAGAAGTGGAATAAGTTAGTAGGGCCATTTTTGAAAGTCCAACAAAGATCTTTAGAATATTTGGGAGTTCTGCACGTCCAGGTATATAGCAATAGCATTTAAACTTATATGCCTGCCCCACAGTGCTTTACAGAACTCTCTGGGCAGTTTACAATGTCAGCACATTGCCCCCAATTCATAAATCATGAATTGTGAAAGTCCATCAATGTTATAGAAAGTGTTACAGCACTTCAAAGCATGATTATCTGTTATAGCATAGCATAGCATGTTGTGCCTAGACTCTGTAGTCCCTAGTTTGGGAAGAAAACTACAGCAGGTCCTTCCTTCCTTCCTTCCTTCCTTCCTTCCTTCCTTCCTTCCTTCCTTCCTTCCTTCCTTCCTTCCTCCCACAACCCACCCATCACCCATCATTAAATATTTTTCATCTCCCTCCCATTCCTATGCAAATCAAATGTGTATATGTACGCTTATGGCTATGTACAATAATCCAGCTGTAGAATATTTCCATGGTTTGCCACCTTGCTAGAATAACATCAACAAACAAACAGCTGGTGTTTAGTGACTGTCAGATCCAATTAAAAATATCAACCACTTTACTTTGATTTGTGCTCAGTCATACCAGGGGTACACTTAAAAACATTAGACTCTGCCACTGCTTGTTGGAGCTTTGTTCACATTTTTCTTTTATACCTTAAAAACTATTGATGGCAGAATCACCTCAGTTACTGCCTCTTTTTAAACCATCAATCTTTAATTTAAGACAATGCTGAGAAGCAGCAAGTCTCGTCTGTAGTTATTTGAGCACTTAGATTCCAAAGTGTGGAAGACTAGTGCATTGGAAAACAGAAAGATGGGAAGATCAATGGCTAAAGTTGTCCCATTACTCAGCTTGGAGTTGGGAAGAAGGGAAACCCATAAATCTTTTGCCCCAATTACAGTGTTTGCTAATTGCAATTATTTATTGTTCTCTCTCTCTCTCTCTCTCTCTCTCTCTCTCTCTCTCTCTCTCTCTCTCTCTCTCTCTCTCTCACACACACACACACACACACACACTCACATAATTCATTATTTCCTGAGGACTAGGACTAAAAGGTACTTCCCTTGGTGGAAAGGTTATTTTGTAAGTAAGAGACTCTGCTCTGCTTCCACTGTCCTATCTCGAATTGTTCTAAATAAAAGAAATGTTGTTCTGATGCTTTTAATCCTGTGTTTCCTGTTCTGAATCACAGTGGTGTATGGCAAGATAAATGGACATCCATCCACCCATTCCTAAAGGCTATCCATCTATCCACCCAGCTTTGATCACTATTGCTACAGCAAAGAATGTGGTCATTTTTATAGAAAGTTCACAATTGTTATTTAGTAGGAAGCATCTAACTGTTTGACTCAGTCCAGATAATTTACAGTTAGAAAGAAGATTAGCTTGGCCCTCCAAGAATGATGGGTAAGATCTCTCAAGACTCCACGTATATTTGTTTCAACTTTGGAATCTGAGCATATACCTAAGAGTTCTTGAGAGAGGATATTATTAAATCTCACCATCAACAGAATCAAGAATGTGTAACATATAACTCATTCTAAAACCACTTCTGCAAATTGGGAATATATTCGTTGCTATCTGCTATGCCAGGATAATTACAGATTCAGAAACATTTTAAAAATCAATATTTGGATATCCAAAGGATTGAATTTGGATATCCGAAGAACTGTCTTGTCCCAATGGGATTGGCCTGCCCCACTCATTCTGGCAGGCAGGGCCTACTGTAGCCTCCATCAGCTGATGGGGTTTAGGAAAAGTATATTTTCTGCTAAGGATACCCCTTCCCTTTGGAATATCTTGCTGCCAGAGTGAGATCCACACCCATCCTTTTAGCCTTTAGGAAGAGCCTTAAAACTTGATCCTGGTGGCATGTGGCCCTGATGGAGAAGCTGTAGACGTTGGGCAGTTGGAGCAGTAATGGAGAAGGCACTAACTCCATTCTGTTCTGAGCCCATGGTTGTTGTTTTTTTTTTTTTTTGGTCTGTATTTTATCTTTTGTAATTTTAATCTATTTTTATATTAATATGGTTTTTATATCTCTATTTTTATTATATTGTAAGCCACCCAGAACCACTCCAAACAACAGTAAGACTGTCCATATATAAATTTAATAAAGGCACAAATAATTAAGGTTTATAGAACAGAAATATTTTATAGAACAACTTGGCGTGAAAGCTCCCTTCCTTAATATTTTTAAGCACCTCGTTTGGAAGGCTTTTACATTTGCACAATGTATTTGCACATATAGCAATAGCACTTTGATTTAAGCACCGCTTCACAGGGCTTTATAGCCCTTTCTAAGCGGTTTACAGTCAGCCTCTTGCCCCCAACAATTTGCGTCCTCATTTTACCCCCCTCGGAAGGATGGAAGGCTGAGAACTTTGAGGCTGGTGGGATTTGAAGTGCCAAAGGGCAGGCAGCCAGTAGTCAGCAGAAGTAGCCACTCTAGCCACTGTACCACTGTATAGTTCTTTTCCTTCACTGTGAAGAATCTATGGTTATGTATTTCACTGGAGATAGAGTTTAGAGTAGTCACAGAAGCCATCCAAAGCATCAATCAAGTCTGTCTTTCTTTCCTTCCTTCCTTCCTTCCTTCCTTCCTTCCTTCCTTCCTTCCTTCTTTCTTTCTTTCTTTCTTTCTTTCTTTCTTTCTTTCTTTCTTTCTTTCTTTCTTTCTTTCTTTCTTTCTTTTCTTCCTTCCTTCCTTCCTTCCTCCCTCCCTCCCTCCCTCCCTCCCTTCCTTCCTTTCTTCCCCACCCATCTCTCTGATAAAGCAATTTAAACTCTGATAAAGAAATTTTATTGCAACACTCATACAGTTTTTTTGTTTGTTCTGGCTTTGAAGGTTCACGGATATTAAAGAGAACTCGGGAAAACTTGACTTCAACTTGCTTTCACCATCGAAGAAAGATTATTGGTCTATGTTGGCCTACAATAGATCTAAGCTTTGCAATATTCTTCTATCAAGTGAACTGAATCGCCGGCTTTCCCCCCATGGAGTTACCTCAAATGCACTGCATCCTGGAAATATGATCTACTCATCCCTTCATCACAATTGGTGGTTGTACACCCTCCTGTTTACACTGGCTCGGCCTTTCACCAAGTCACTGGTAAGAGCATGATATTTCATACATATTGATTGATTGAGAGATTGGCTTTTTAGAAATTCTCTTATACCTACTGCATTTTCAACCACTCTTACATTTGTTGATCTTTTATATAATTGTGGCCCTTGTGGTAAAAAAAGGCTGCATCCCTTGATTGTCTGGGTTGGTCTTTGATAAACTCTTGTGTCTTTTCTGAGTCATGTGGTTTGGTTCTGTGCGTCTTATGTCTGAATATGACTACCTGCTCGGGGTCAGGATCTAAGAGAAATCAGAGCTACAAATTGCAATATGCTTAGGGGGGAAAATCCCAGTAAAGATGGGTTGCATTGAGAAGCATAAAAAGAAATATTGATCTCTATATGAAAAATGAACAAGTAAGCTTGGAATATACTGTATGAATGATTAATTCCATAGCACCTCATTGATGTCTAAATTTAGGAGTTGTATACTTGCCACAGTTCTGCCTTGGAATAAAATCTTGGCGTTGCAGGAGAGTAAATAGAGTATCATGTGTTAAGGCTGAAAGAGCCGAGCAGATGTTTCAGCAAACTGAATTTTTAAATCTTTTGCATTAAGGAAGGATAGAAATCTGAGCTGATTGGGTTACACTTCCTAATTCAATGCACAGCCAACGGTGGTGGTTGAGTTTTAACAGATGTGTTGTGTGCTGTCTCTCTTTAAATGAATGGGAATATAATACTGGGACTATTGCAGAATTATAATGTATAATCATGGGGGGAAAAACCCATCCTGACTATTGGCGAGTGATACAATTTTTAGAAATGAATTGAAGAAATAAGAGAAATTGAACAGGTTTGAAAGCTGACTGGTAACAATACCTGATTTCTTATTTATTTCTTTTGCAACATACATATGACTTTGGTTCTGTACAACTGGTTGCTGGCAAGGTTTGTACTAACAGTGTTTAATCATCAGTTAGTGTAAAAGAAATGTGCACATGATCCCAATTGCTGGGTGGTTTTGTGTTTTCTCTAATGGTACAGTTTTGCACACTGTTTATTTAGCACCTTTATATAAGCCTAGGAACTCTGGACAGTGAAGACGAAAATCTACTAAAACGAAACCAGGTTTCAACTCAGGAAACTCAAAGGCACATTAGCTCATCAAACAAACCACATCCACACCACACTCCATCTATATCCTTGCCTGCAGGAAGATTTAGGACTTCTCGGTCTTCCAGGTGGCCAATTGGCATTGCACATATCTCAGGATGGATGAATAGAAGATCACAAGATCTTCTTGTCATCACAAGGTGACACTGTTTCACCTGTAGGGCTTGGAGCAGGCTCATTTGCCAGATCTAGCGAAACAAGCATTGGGGACTGAGCATGAGTTCTTTTGTGAATTATTCCGCACTGAAGGAATTTTCATGACAGACCAGGATAATTAATTACAAACTTCAAGAAGATAACAAGGCACAGTCCATTGGAAGAACGCCAACCAAGATAAACCTCAGCCAGAAATAAAACACGCTTTGCTTCTAGCAACGCTGTGTTTAAACGCCCCTCCTTTATACTATTTCCCCCAGCTGCAGCCAATGAGGGGGATCATGGCCACTTCCTCTCCCGTAAGCCACATTGTTCCCTTCTCCATTCCTCCCTGGGTGCCCTTGGATGAAGAGGAGATGGGCCTGGGTCTTCCTCTGACTGCCCAGCCAGCCTCTGCCCTTCCCCAACCTCCTCCACAACCCCCGGAGCCACACTTCCACTCCCTGTCGGCTGTTCCTCCTCTCCCTCGGAGTTAGTCTACAACAGGAGCATGACAGTAATTCTACCTTTGCCTTTTCTTCTCAAAGTCTTAACAAAGAGAAGCAAAACAAAAAAAATATGATTTATTTGTAGAATAAATGCTTAGAAACAAAGAATTGATGTTCATGATCAGACTTTTCTATTCTGAATACCTTTAGTTTAGGGTGAACTGGATTTCCTGCCATAGTTTGCTTTGGTTTGTGTATTGCAATGCCTGGAGAATCCTAGATGTACAACAGCTGTCCAGAGAGAGCCAGTTGTGTAGAAGACAATTTAACAGAATGAGGCTGAGTTGTGCACCACAAAAATGTTGATACATAGCCCAAATCAACTCAAGTCAGCGAAGAAGTGATTGTGCCTCCAGCTTCATAATTATGGAAAATTTAGATTTTAAGCCTTTTTCCTTGGCATATGTATCTCAGATCTTAACCACTACAATAGTTTATAGCATTAATATAGATCTAATGGGAATTACAGCAATAATAGTTATTTTAGTTTGAAGAGTTACAGTATCAACTGAACTATTTTGTCTAATTCTATTAGTTTTATGGAACTCATATTCAAGCGCAGTGCTTCTGATTTTGACTTCTTTGTTCTGCTTAAATGGTTGAGCTCATTATGAGCTATGCTGGTCAGTGACCAAAATAAAGATGTTGATTTGATTTGATATTCCATAGTCCAAATAATCATGGCAGTCTTCAAGCAGCAGATATTTCGGTTATTATCCTTGTATAAAATATGTTGGCTGATGCAAACCAAACTGTGATTTGTTTTTTTTTAAACCAAGATAAGTTGAATCTAAACAGATACAGCAACTTTGAAAAACCCTTTAACTCGTTAAAAAAACCAACCCATCACTAAAGTGGTTTCAAGCCTTCGTTCTAGGTTATCTCAAGATGGCAACTCAAACTGAACTAATAAAAGTTCCCCATTTCAATAAAATGATTTATTTAGATTCTAAATATTGTGCCATTTCTGTACTTAACATTTCCATTTTTAGTTTCCTTCTGATTCCTCCCATTTCTTGTTGGTATCTTCTCCCAGAGAGATTGTGTGTTCTTTCTCCCTTCAACACTCACTTACCAATATTGAGTAACTTTCAGATACTTAAGGCTTACATTTATGTACCCTCCAGCTCAATTTTTTTGTTATATACAAAATGGTATGTTGCTTACTTCTTGCCTGTAGTTTGTATTAAAAGTCTGTGAAGACAATCAATTGCTGAAATGGAAAACAAACAACTATTTCTTAAGAAAGAAAGGGGGCAATGTTTACATTTCTAATAAACCAATTTCAGTTTATTTATGACATATTATATTTGTTCAGTAAATACTTTAATTTTGTTTGCAAAACTCACAATGCTTGTTACTGACACCCAAAGCACAGGTTTTTTTTGCAAAAAACCAGACTTTTGCAAATATGTACTTTAATTTTAAACATTTGTGCATTAGAGTTGTCATAGTATATCTCAAAATTTAAGCCAACAATTTCTTTCCCCTGTTAAATTAGTCTGCCATAAATGACATTAAATATTGAAACTAAACTCTACCATATAATTATAAAATATTTTTGTTCCAAATTGTCAGATTCACGAAAAACATGGTGTTGATGAAGAACAAAGTTATGTCAAATTTCTAGTGGGAAAAAGAAGGGGAGGGAATAAACCAGCCAACCAGTTTTACTTACTTTAGAGGATTTGATAGAAAAATAAGATGGTACAATATCTCCTGTAGGTAACAACTTCTTTAACATGACATGCCTGCCTCCATTGTTGGCTGTTCTTCAAAAAAATGTCGAGAATATTAGTCCTAGAAAAATCATTGCCATAGTTTGGACATGATTTGTTGGTTTGTGTTATAAGTAAGCCACATTATTTGTTGAATAAGAATTTAGTTTACTTACATAAGGATTTATGCAACATTGTTAGTTATATAATACTTCTATGGTGTCCTTCAATTTTGCATCATCAGTTGATTAGACACTGGAAAATTTAAGGTCTAGAAAAATCAGGGGGGAAAAAAAAAACAAGAGAAAAGATAGATTTATCTGTGCCTCATCCCCTACTCAAGTTTTTAAAAAATGTGTTGGAGAAAGTAAGCAAGATTTTTTTCTCTCCTGAATTCAAAATTTTGTGGGAAAAGCAAAGATAACACCTCCTCATGCTTTCCTTTATAATGTCCTCTCTTTGGATCTGAAGGTCTCATTGGATCTTAGCTTTCTTTCATTAAGAAGAAGTTGTGTGTGTGTTTATGTGTGTGTGTTTCAGCTTTATAGTATTATAATATTTTAAATTCATTGTTAAAGTGACCTTGTATCAAAAGGCATACTGATGGGATTCATTCTATACACTTTATTGGAATAAGAACAATTGTGCCTGACCAATCAAGCAAATAGTTAAATAAAGGTAATAAGTATTAGTAATTATTAAGTAATTATTTATTAAATAATACTTGATTTTTCCTTGTTTTCTTTTTAAAATAGGCAGGATCACATATCCTTTGCAGATATTCAAAATTTATCAAAGTTTGCTACCCATTGCTGTCAGTGGCACACTTGAGTCTTCTTAATCTGTTTTAATCTTTTTGTTTCTGTCATCAATCAGTGCTTAAAAAGATTAGCAATTCCAGATACTGAATGCAAATATAAGAATAATCTGGAAGATGGATCCCTTCTTTCTTCCTACTTATTCTTGGTCTGCTTCATGTGCCTCTCCTTCTAATGAACATGATGCAAATGTATATTAGGAGGAGCCACATAACATAATATTGCTCTATTGTGCTTCTATCGATACTTGATATAGCTTCAGCTGTATGTTTAAGATATAGGATGACTACTCTGCTCCTAAAATACAAGTTCATAAAGCCCGCCTCCACTTCTATAAAGCTCCACCTCCATGAAACCTAGACCAGATCTTAACCTGTGGTTGATTTTCAAACATCCAGTTTTTTTTTCTCCTGCTTGCAATTGCAAAAAATACAGGGATGTACAGTACATGTAGTAAAACTTGATTGGTCATAATATTGCTCTAAGAGAAGAGCTTTCTCTCAGCTGTTGTGTCTACCCTTTGGAATATTTTGTCTCCTGGAATGAGATCAGCTCCAACCCTACTGATCTTCCAAAAGAGCTTATAGATCTGGGTGTCCCAGTTGACTTGGGGCTCCAATGGAGGGATTTCCATAGGGGGTGGTTGATAGATTAACAATAGATTCCACTTCCCTCCCCTTCATTCTGCTC